ATACCAAGAAATATAAACCATAATTAGAAAATGGAATATAAATCTGTAGAAAGGTATATATTTACTACTGGTGTGTGAGTACGGTGTATACATTTGAATGTGTGCACATTCCCCTTCTCGTTACTGCCTGCTCTGAGCCCTGCTCAAGTGAAGTGGGGGAACGTGTCGCTTTGTGCAGTTCCTTTCAGATGCGCGTGTCGCCTTCTGCACCTTCTGAGGCTTCGTCGTGCACGTCGGCCCTCGCTGTGGCACTAGTGACATTTTTCTGTGGACAGATGCAGCAGCCTCCAGCTTTCCTTCAGTGCTGCACAGCAGTTAGATGCATCGTTCATGTAAATGTATATGAATTTTGTAGCAGTTTAAAGTTAACCTCAAGTTTAAATTATGGTGAGGGTTTTTTATTTTTGGTTTTATTCTTCCTGACTTGAGGGGTTGGTCTAAATCTAGTGGTTAGGACAGTCCAGTGCAAAATAAAACTAGGCTTTAAGATGAACGTGTGCTCTGTATAAATGCGTATATCACATAGCCAAGTAAAAGCTCCTGTTTTTGGACAAGGCCATTTTCTGTGAGTGCCTTCCGAAACGACCGGCAGGTCTGCGAATGCCCCGTGAATGCAGGAGCGTGGTAGCTTGTGGCTCTGCATCCAACGGGTGATTCCTGCCTTGGTGCTTAGGAAAAGCTTCAGCTCCAACAAAAGCTTCTCCAGCGCGGACGCATTTCAGAGGTGCCCGTGTGGCTTCTCTGATGTGAACTCCCGCTGCAGTTGTCTGTGTTTGAAAGGGCTCTTGCAGAGCTGATCAAGAGGCTCGCAAATTCTGGCATGGAAAAGGAGAAGTGTGTATGAAAAAGCTGGAAGACAGAATATGATCACATAAAACTGGCTTTTCATGTGCATCCGGGCTAAAAAGATGGGCAAGGAAAAAGGAAAAGAAAACAAAACAACCATTCTTCTTTTATGAGGTATTTTAAGGGTGCTACATTAAAGGCTTTTATTAAGAGTGACGTATGTTTTTAAAAGATTTTTCTGACCCATAGTGCAATATATTTTAGTACCAAGGCCTGCTGAGTATTCTCAAGCTCTTTTTTTACTTCCCTTCACTAGCTTTTAAACGAGTTGGCTCATTTCAGTCAAATTTGTCATAGGAGGAGAAAGTTTTAGCACTAACTAACTTTTCTCTGCCCTGGCCATGGAATTTCACAGAAGTCATAGTTCAGTGGCCTTTCGGGAGCACATTCGCAGCGATTTAGGGGAGGGAGCCAAGGAAACGTTGTGGAGCACCTTGAGGGACACGAGGGAAGGTGGGAGCGCCTGGTGGGAATGAGGGCTCGAGGAGCTCTGGGCATCGCAGGGCCTGCGGCTGCCCCAGTCCTCAGCCACCAGGACCAGCAGGGCAGGAAGGGATGCAGAGCTGGGCTCTGCGCCGTGGCCACCCCAGGGAGCGGAAGCAAATTTATAGGAAACAGCCTTTCCTTGGTTGTTCTGCTCAAAATAACACCCTATTCTTTAAAGCAGCTACTAAGAAGAAAGGAAGAGGTTACTAACTAGTGTGGGAAGCGCATTCTGGAGTCTCCCTAGAAATAAACTCAGGGCCAGAGGGTTGGTCTGGCTCCAGAGAAAAGAAAGATCTGAAAAGAAAGGTCTCTTCTGTGCATGATTCTCCTAAAATGATGCTAGCCACATTTTTTATCTTGGCAATGGATGCAGCTATAAATTAAACCTGCTCAGATTGCTTGGCAGCTTGTTTGTAAGGAATAAAATGAACTAGTTTAGTGTGTGTCAGTTGTAGATTATGAAGGATGTTATTTCTTACAGACACCATAACGTAAAATAGGTTTTCTTTTGCTTGATAATTCATCGGCACCCACTGTTTCCCACCCTTCGCCGGAAAGCTAATCCACTGCTTTGGTTTTCTCCTCACAAGGGTTGGTTTCCTTGCAAAGGATTGTGGCTTCAGGTGAGCTGTAAGCAGCAAGAGTGCCTAGCGTACGAAAATGTAGTTGTACTTTAATGAAAACATATCTCTTAATGAAATGAGGACAATAAAAATGCCAGATTTATGACTGCAATGCAAGTGTATCTGACTCTTCCAAGTGCGGCTCCCACTGTACTGAAACGCTTTGCTTTCTAGGAAATTCTGTGGGTTTTACTCTATCAGCACATAAGCATGGAGATGTTCTTACATTTTTATTAGCAGGCAGCAATTGCAGCGTTTTCTCTTGCAGGGCTTGCTCATGCAGACTGTGCTCTATTCCCCCCCAGGAGTTGTCATTGTCACAGAGCACTCGGTGTTTATAATTGTCCCAACTTTATTCTTGCTTGGCTCTGACCTGCCATCCTCCCAGCTAGTATTTTTAGACCAGTTTCCTACGGAAATGAGGCTTCGACAGTCCTGCTGTCTCTGTCAGCTCTCTCTGTCCACCCATCTGTCCACCCTCGATAACTTGGCCGCTTTCAGCCAAACTTGCCGGGCCCGAGGCGATAACGCAGCTAGTTGTGCCCGCTGGGAGGGGAGGGCGCCGGGGCCGAAAGCCCTGTCTGGTGCCACACGGTGCTCGAGCACAGGCTGCGAGACGGGCAGCTCTTTGCCCTTGCAGCAAAGGAAAACAGGAGGTCTCCGAAACCTTTGAGCTTTGTTATGGCTTACGCGGAGAACAGGAGGGAGGGAAAGGAGTCTGTCAAACACGCCAGGCACGGCATTGGGAGGCTTGTGGGAAAAGATATAGTTTATTAGACTCCCAGGGAAAAGAAGAGAGTTCTAATGTTAATATTGGGCTAGATGTTTAGACACCGTTATCAGGCTTTCAGAGTTTTTTTTCAGATTTTTTTTTTCAACTGTTCTGTCAACACTTTTCCGTAGATACGTTTTTGCCATTCCCTTCTCGCAGTTCATCCCTGTGGTGGTTTTTAACTGCTTGTCTTCTGGCCAGCCACTGCGTCATCATCTGCTGTTCCTTTGGCTTTGCTGGTTCTACTGTAGAGCAGGAATTTCAAGAAATTGAAATTCGCTGATGTCTCCCTTACAGAGTACGTCAAAACTGAAGCTTTTAATTTGGAAGGTTTAATGCCAGCGTGGGGCTTTGTGTAGAATGAATCTGTCCTTTGAGACAGAGTTATTTTGTTTTTTGCATGAGGTAATAGCAAGTAATTCCCTACCTTTTCTAACAAAAAGACCCTTACATTGCTTTTGCGTATCTTATTGCAATTTAAATATTCTTTAGCTCTGCTATTATCCATAGTAGTCTTTTCAAAACAATATCAAAAATGATGGAAAAAACCTCAGTCTTGGCAGAAATCAGACCCCAGACAACTCCCTACTGGAGTTTGCTGAGAGCGGAAGTGCCGTTTTCCTGCCCCTGTGTCTCCTGGTACCGCACGCAGGTCTCGCTGGGCCTCAAAGCTCCGCCGCCGAGCGCGCCGCGAGGGCCACGCTCTGCTCGCCCCGCAGGAAGCAGCAGGAACTACCTACCCGGCAAGGTCAGAAGGCGTCTTAGGGCCATAGGAATTTTCTGCAGCCTTTGAGGCGTTAAGACTCAAGTTAATGAATGTATTTAACTCTTCTCGGTGTTGCTGTTGATGGTCAGGGGTGTTGGTTAGCTAAGCCTGGGAAATACGCGCATAGTTTCAACTGCACTAAATATTTTTACTGAATGCATTAGTCCTGTAAACATGTATGCGTATGTAAAATCACACGCATTTCAGCAGTGAAATGGCCAGGCTGTGTAAGAAAGTCGCTTTTGTCTCCTTCTGATGAGACTATTTACAGAAACAAAAGCAAAACCTTCACAGAATCACAGAATGGTTAAGGTTGGAAGGGGCTTCTGGAGATCACCTAATCCAGCCCCCCTGCTCAAGGACGGGCACCCAGAGCACACACACGGTCACATCCAGGCTTCGATCACACACCCTCTGAGCTGTCATTTACACAGTTATTCTCTTCTCTCCACCTTCTTTTAATTCAATTTGCAATATTCGATGTTTACTCATTTTGTCTCCAGTGAATTCCCCTCCTGTCCCAAGCATGTTGAAGAAAAGTACAAAAACTCTGATTTTTAATATCGTATTCTGTCCAGCTGCATTGTTTTGAGGTGCTGTATGATTTGTGCGATACTGAGATTTAATCTTTTTTAGTATTTTCCAAAAGTTTGTTACTGAATTTGAGAAGACGGGCCTAGTTATCCTGTCTGTGTTTTATCCGTCTGTATATAGTACTCCTTGCTGCAGAGCTCTGAAAAGTACTTCAGAAGAATGGTGCATTTCTTCCATACTTAGAACAACCATGTAAAATACACACCTACAAAGAAAGAGTATGCAGTTAATGGTGTTGGTTTCTTCTGAATGTTGTGTTTCATGCTATAACTGAGACCATATCAATACTAGAGAGTTTGCGGATTTCAGGGGACTGCATTCAGGTGCCTTCCTCACTGTGGAGTTTGTGCTTTTCCAGTATATCATGTGCAGGTTTCCAAAGGAGGCCTGTCAGCTGGAGCTGCTAAACAGGTGTAGGTGCCTGGGAACCAAAGTATAAAATGGAGAGCAGAATGTGATCGAGAGCTGAACTTTTCTTGCTGTGCTGACTTCTTTTTGTAGCTTTTTTGTTTTCCTGTTTTTGTGCTTTTGCTCAAGTCTGGTTAAAGCTGTCGCTGAAGTGAAACAGGAGATCAGTTGACAGGATTTTTAGGGGCATAACATCCAGCTGTGCAATTCTTGGAGTGATTAATTTGTTTTCATCGTGAAGAAACCACTATTTTTAACTGTACGTTAAAATTCTAGCACGTTGAGGAAGCACGAGAGGCATTATAATGCAAATTAAAGCTTACCTAAGTGCCTGTACTAAATGTTAAAAAATCTCTTTAAAGTGTTGGTGTCTCGTGACTGTGGTAGATGTTAATCTCCATATAACGTTTTTGTTAAAGCAGCACGAGAGCATGTCACGAATTCAACACTTGCAATATGGAGGGAGAAAAAGTAGCGGCTTCACATTTCTGTCTTTATTTACCAGGTTTGGGCAAAACAAAAAGAAAGACGAGCGCGCGAGACGCCTCACCGACTCCTAGCACCGATGCCGAGTACCCATCCAACGGCAGCAGCGCGGACCGGATTTACGATCTTAACATTCCAGCCTACGTGAAGTTTGCCTATGTCGCAGAGAGGGAGGATGAACTGTCCCTGGTCAAAGGGTCCCGGGTCATCGTCATGGAGAAGTGCAGCGACGGCTGGTTTTTATTTTTTTGATTTAGCAAGTCTGGTAGTTATGATAGTGTAATACAGGGCCTGTCATCCTTAAGGAAACAGGGTGATGTTTCAGTATTGCAAATTGGTACATTTACTGTATATGAAAGTTAGTGTTTTACAAAAATACAGTCACCTTTTCAGTTGTGCACTGTATTGTCTAGGGGTTTCTTAGTCCATGGACAAGTAATTAAATATTTTAAGATTCAGTCTGACTGTTGCTGTATTTCTCGTGTGCAATCCTCCTTGAATTTAGAGTGCTACAAAGTAAAATAGCTCTTGTGAATTGAAAATTTAGTCATTAATTTGAATTTAAAGCTAAAATAGGATCTTACCACTGGTGAGTTTGCTTTTTATTTTAACTAAATAACCACACAGGTTCTTTATTAATTAAAATCCTATTTTTAAGTATTTCTGTTCTACTTACATTGTTTAAGTTGCAGTAAGGTGAAATTACCATTGTTATTATAATTATTGAAACCACGATACAGTGCAAAGAATGTCAAGTCAGTGGCTCATAACTTCTAAATTGAGACGTGATGACATCAGAGCGATGTGAGCAATGCTGATTAGGAATCATTAACAGTTCTGAAAGTTCAAATTTAAAATTACACTGAAAAACTTTTCATGTATGTTGAAGCGTGGGATTGCATAGCTAAAGCACTATTTTTTTTTATGATTTTTAAAAGATGACAGATTCACACATATGTCTTTAAAACACATCAAAAATAAGGATATTTGAAGATGAATTATACTAATTTATGATCAGGTATTTTTGCATTCATTCCGTTCACACAATTTACTGTTTAGTATCTGTCTTTACGTATCCTAGTGTTCCATGTATAAAACTGAAAAGTAGTTAAATCTGCTCAGTCTTTTAATAGGGGAGGAGAGTGCTGCTAATTTTAGACACCATACACAGCTACATATTTATGTAAACCATATTTCTGTAAAACCATATTTATATCAACCTCGCTATGTCCATCTAATTTACAATGTAGATTGCAAATAAGCATTGTCAACTGCATATAGTTTGAATCATAATATGATTCCTAAAAACATTTCTTGGCTCTATCCCATTGTCAGAAGGCTGTATTGATTGCACCTATTTCTGATTAGAACTTGAGATAGTCTCTGTCATGGCCTCCTGACCGAGGAAGAACCGTTCCCAGTTCCCATGCTCGTGTAAATGACTTCATTAATTGCTCATCAGCGCGCTGGTATCACTGTATGCCAGCAAACAGGGAGTTTGCTTTAGTGGGGAGAATCCTGTTTAAGCTCAACTCTGGAAATGAAGGTCATTTTAGTTCATAATACTTTTCTAGAAAGGTATCTAATATTTTCCTTTGCTAATTATTTTTTTTCATAAGCCATACTTCCTGCCACTTAAGTCTCAAAATGAAGTCAAAATCTGTGAAGTAGTATAGAGACAGACTGCTTAGGTAGGACCCTTATATAGATACTCCTTCAAAATAAAACATCTTTAGTAATATAAAGTTCCCCATAGGACAAGAGGAAATGGCCTCAAGTTGCAGCAGGGAGGTTCAGGTCAGACACTAGGAAGAATTTCTACACGGAAAGAGAGGAGCCTTGGAACAGGCTGCCCAGGGGAGTGGTGGAGTCACCGTCCCTGCCAGCGTTCAAGAACCGTGTAGACGAGGCACTTAGGGACATGGTTTAGTGGGCAGGGTGGTGAAGGGCTCGCGACTGGACTCGATGATCTCGAAGGTCTTTTCCAACCATAATGATTCTATGATTCTCATTTCTAAACTCTAAAAGGCAGCTTTCTAGACTAGCAGAGCCTATCTTCGGAATGAACTGCAGCTTCCCTTTTTAATATAATGATACTGACATCTGGGACTGGCTGGCCTGCTTCATCTTGGCAAAAAGATGGACAGTGGTTGCTAGTGATAACAGAACAACAATTTACAGTCAAGGAAATATTAATAATTGTGTTGTTTTTTTCCAAATCCAAATGCAATCTGTTGCAGTTTTGATACACTTTACTAGTGTATTATTATTATTACTGAAGTTAGAATGAATCAAGACTGATGTCTATTTCCTAAAATTTTAACAGCCTATAAAATGTTATTGATAGCATACAATTCTAATATCTCAGAATATTTTTTCTGTATATAATATTGTCTATTCAATTTCAGGCATCTTTGCTCCATTGATTTTTCTCTGCAGAAGACAGGATACCTGTCAAACTACTGTTTCTCCAGAGCTTTACTGATGTGTGTCAGTGAGTTCCTATTTCTGCTCTCAGCTAACTGTAACCACAAAATGGAGACATATGCAAATAAACCTGAGGAGAACAAGAGAAATAGAGTTTTAGAAACGTGATTTATGAACAGAGGCTGACAGGTTAAAGTTTGTGTAATCAATAGAAAAGGAAACTGCAATGGGGCATAGAGTCTTCCAAAATGTGGAAACTGCTAAGGGATTTAAGGATAGTAATCCTTAGATTACTGTGCAGTAGTCCAGCTGCCCATCCTGCCTATGACCCGGAAAACAATGTACCCTTATACATCGTCTGTGCAGTAGGGAGAGACTTGTTTTCAGCCGTGGATGTTGCATTTGGGATTGTCCTGATTAGTAGCTAGCAAAGAGCTCCTTTCTTGTGAGGACAGTGCCAGAAGAACGGTCTGAAAATTAATGTAGCACTTAAAATACTGAAGCGGGCGGCCTTGCCCCGTGGCATCCAGTAATGACTCCTGGGTTGCAGCTCGCTTCCTTGCTCTTAAGAGAGCCTGCACCTTGAGTAAACGAATTTCCTGGAAAGAACTCTTTAACCTTTTAATTTAATATGACATCATGATGCTAAATGTACTTGTTTTCAAATTCAGCTTCAAATTGACTGTCTTCGTTGTTGCTGGGGGAATTGTTGCTTGTGGAGCACAAAAAGGTTCATTCAGAATGTGGTCTTTTAAGTTCTTCCCAGCATACAGCATTTATTGGAATCTCATGAAATTCATTGAACTCCATGTTACAGCAGTTTTCCTTGGACAAAAAGCTAGAGTGACTGTCCTCTGAACTGAGGAAGTCTGCTCTTTTTTTTTTTTTTCTTTCCCTTTGCTCCTGATCTGACCTTGAGGATTTTGCATTTGCTTTTTTATTTTTTTTAAGCAATAAGAAATACTTTGTAGTTATGCATGCTTGATTCCACTTCAGAATTTGTATCACTTCAGTATTTTAATTTCTGTTAGGTTTAAAGAGACATTTTAATACTTACCAAAGTTACCTGCTTTAGTTATTTTATACATTATATTATTCCCTAATTTGTTTATGCATGTGAATTATTTAAAAATAATAATAGTAATAATTGAGACTGCTACCTTGTGGGGTCTTTTTTCTTAAGTACCAGGAATGATACAGCAAGCTGGTGGGCATAAGTGATAGCAACAGAAAAAAGAGATGGCTAACAAAAGATCTGTTTCAACTGGTTATCCGGTAAAGAAAGAAGATGGTAGAAATAACTCTCAAAATCCTGGCACATATCCCGTTTCTCATGAGTAACTACAGATTAGAGGCCATGAGACGTGTCCGCAGGATCAGAACCAAACAGGTGGTTATAGGACCAGGCTGAGGACCAGGCTGCTCTCTAGCTCTTCTTGTTTCATCCCAGGCCTTCCCCATACATTTTTTTATGAACCCTTCTATCAAAACTGTAGATATAGGGGTTGGTCCTTTCCTAAGGGACCTCACATGGATAAAGTTGTGAGTTGTCCCTGATAATCTTCTGCCTGATTTTTGACTTATTTTAGGGTTTTTCTTTAGCCTCCATCACCATAGTTACTGAATGTCTTTTGTATAAAATGCTTTTCCCTATATTTCACTGAATTTTGTGCTTGTCTCTCTTAGCTATGAAAAGCTCTTCTTGGATACATGACATTTGTGATACTCTTTTCAATTGATTGAGTCTCTTATTTTTTTGTTTTAATCTTTACTGGTGTGTGAGGCTTTCACCTGTTTCTGTGAGATGTAAATTAAAAGACTTATCCCACAGATAGATTCCTTTAGCCAAAAATATCCGCAGTTATATTTAGATCTAAGGGGTCATGCTGTGGTGAATACACTGCCATGAACTCTGTCTTGTAGCTGGAAGTCTGGTTATCTTAATTTTGCTGTAGTGTTTATTAGGATCATAAGCTTGTCTGAGCTATTTAAGTCCATGATGGATGCAAGAGGCACTGATACCTGCTGGTAAAACTTTGGCCACTTCCCTCATACCCAGCCACTGTCCTCTGCATGCTCGGAGATACAGAGGAGGAGTTGAGGTGGAGTATCCCTGGTTAGGGCGGCCGTGTCTCTTCAGAGCCGCTTTTGCTCTCTTGGCCTTTGTGAACTAAGGGTTCCTTAGAGATTTTTGCTTGTTTTTCATGTCCCTGGCACAAGGTGGATGAGTCTTGGCTGCCAAGCTGTGTTGGGTTGAAGATCTTCCCAGTCCTGGTCCAAGATCTTGATTCCCCTGGGCCTGGTGGTGGGGACAGGGGTGAATTTGGAGGGAAGGCTGCTGTTGCTCGGGCTTGCCCCTGAGCAGGAAGGGGCTCTGTTTGCTGGCTGCCTGCCAGAGCTATGGGGACGCAGCAGCGCTCGCAGCTCGTGATGCGGGAGGGCCACGGGCGCCCTGGCTGCTGCATCTTGGGGCTGAAGCACCTGGAGGCCTCAAGGGAGCTTCTCTCCGGATCTGCAGGGCTCCTGCGGTCACCTGCTGGGGCTGGGAGACCTGTGGTTTCCTTTGGGAGGCAGGAAGGAGAAGGAGGTGTTGTCATTTGGGGCGGAGGGGCAGCGTAGGAGCCGTTATTCTTTAGGAAGAAAGGGCTCAATCCTGCTGATACTCTGTCAGTCCTCGAAGGCCGTATGGGTGCGCTTTGACCAGCCATGCGACAGTAGGGCAGGAAGGATGACTTTGGGGGCTTAAATGCTACTGAGGGGCAAAGCTGGTAGCATCTTAACGTGTCCGGTATTTTCAGGTGGCTTTAAAGCACCTGACGGAAGCAGTGGCAGCTCTTCAAAACTGAAGCATTTGTCATGTTCTGTGACACACTGTGACTGACCACAGCGCAGAGAAGGACGAACACAGGACAGGTTTAAGAATATATCCCAGTAGTTTATTTAGACCTGTACGTGAGTATCTGTGGAACTAATTCATGTTTCTAAAGTTGTTTTTAAAACATAATGAATGTTGCATAAGAGGGAAGAGCTTTTAATATATGTGAAGAAAGTATATGAGGTGGGGATGAGGCGTAGGTAAAGGAATTGTTAATCTTCCTGTAGGGTTCTTTCCAATTTGTCTCTAGACTTTTGAACTGTTTTGTTTTTGTTTTCGGTTGGGTAACTTGAGTGTCTTTGTTTCTGAGCAGGAGTGAAGGGAAGCCAGTTTGTAGAGCTTGAAGGAGCTGCCTGGAGCTGGGCAGCTCCAGGGTAGCAGCAGATCTGAACTCCAGGGGACTGGAATAACCCGAAGAATGTGAATAGGAGGAAATTTCTTCCTGAAGGAAGAGAAGCTGGTTTGAAATGAAAAGAACTGAGTTATAGGATCAGTAAAAGTTGTTCAGAGAAGGTTGTTTTTCCCAGTACTGCCATTTATTATAAAATTGTCTTGTTTCATTTGCACGTGAAGACTGTAAAGAGGAAACTTTTTTTCCCACTTTTCCTTGTTTGTCATTGTGTTACTTTACACCTTCTCCTCATGATATCAGTCTTTTTCACCTTTTTTGAAAATACCAAATGCATAGCCAAAGGAGCCATGTTCAGGACACATGATTCCGCCTGCTGTTTCCAACATACAGACAGCACCAGCCGCCCTAGTCATAGGCAAGAGTTAAGTACAGGAATCTGAACCAGTTTTAAGAAATAGTACAGCTGGACTGAAGAACTGGAAATGCGTGTCAGATAATCTTCGGTTTGCTGTTTTAGGAATTGAATTAGCTTCAGATTTAAGTCTTTCCAATTATGACCGTACAAAAATATTCATAGGCTCCCTGCCATGAAGCTATGCTCTTTAATTCTGCAGAATCATGAGTGACTTTCTAGGGATTAAAGTTTACTTTTAATGTACCTTTATAGGATGTATGATAGCTTCTATTCCTGGAAAAGTCAGTGTGCAAACATCCAAATGTAGCAATTAATTTAAGAGGGAGAAGGGAGAAAAATTGGCAAGCAGTTGAAACAAAAATTTTAAGCAGTAAATAAATAAAACAAACAGACATGGAACAAATCCAAGGAGGACAGCAGGGAACCAATTCAAGCTGCACTGAACCAACATACTTCAGGATGGTAATGTTAAGTTAGGAGAACAGTAGTTTATCTAGAGATTTTTGTTAAATAGGCTTTAGCCATTTTGCTTGCTTGTTGCGGGGGAAAGAACTAAAAAGCAGATGCAAGTCCAGTTGCCTTTGCTCTTTGTTCCTGTATCCTGTAGACTTCAGAGATCTGAGGCCAGTAAAGGGTTTCAGAGTTTGTGCAACAGCTGTTCAAGCTCTTCCATCTCCTTGTGCCGGATGAGGGCTCTCAAAAGGGTTAGATCAGCCTTTATATTTCCTTCTTTTTTTTCCTTTTTTTTTTTCTTTTTTTTTTTTTAAAAAAAAGTTGAATTAGATCACCAAAAGAATAAACTTTGTAACATGTATTCTGGGGAAACCGAACGATAATAATGTCTTCTATTTTTCCGTGGATCTAATAAAGAGCTCTGAGTCGGAGAAGAATGGTCAGTGGTTCAGGAGAATGGTCATTCATTAAAGCTGTAATTAAAATGGCAGGAAAAGTATTTAAGGTATTGTGTATGGCGCCTCAAAGAGGTCTAAGCGTGGCCACTGAACAGGACGAGCACGGTGGATCAGATATCTAAGGTCTATTTGAGGCCGATCTGTGGGCATCTTTTCCGATGCGGAGATCATGATTCTCTGCAAGTACAAAGAGCTTTGAAAACTCATAACTTTGACATGGGGAAAGCAGCTGTGCTTTGTTAGAAAACACTACAACCTTGTTAAAGAGTGAATTTAAGCATTGGTTTTCAGCTGGTTTTAAACCTTTTTGATAAAATTTTCACCTATTTCAAAAACAAAAAATGCTTTTGCTTCAGATTAAGACCTTCCTGTTGAAGTTTTAGATAGGACCTTGCAATTACTGCTTTATATGCTGGCATCAGCATGTAAATCAGCTAGGCTTGATGATCTTGTTTATTGAAGTGCTCATGAGCTAGTCCTGCAGTACTGCTTTCTGCGTTGCCCCTTTTGAAAGTGCTCCCCGTGCCCTGTGCTGTGGCCGCTGTTTCGAGCAGAGTGACCAGGGTGCGGGTGCCCCACGCCGCTGTGCCCCGCAGCCACACGCAGCGCTGGCCGCGGAGCTGCGCGCTGGCGCAGGGCACTGCTTGGGTTCCCTGCCCGTGTTGTGGCGGGTTAAGGACAGCGTTTCCTACGGCTGCCAAGGTGTCCCCTGAACCGCGATCAGATGCCAGGCCTACGTGGCTGCGTCGCGTGGGCAGCCCGGGGCTCTGTCTGCGCTGTAGTCACCTTGATCACAGCGCAGTTGATGCAACTGGGTTAGCTTTGAACTAGCAGGGTAGGTATGGAGAACAGGTTAGCCTTGGCAGGAGCTCCTTGCAGGCACATTTCTGACGTTTCTGCGGCAGGGCTTCTAGTATCAGAGCTGGGGCTGGCTTAAAATAGCAGTTTTCAGACGGCGCAGATGACAGGGCTTGAGACGCACCTCGGGTGGAGCATTACAAGCCCCAGGGATATTCCAGTAGATGTTTCTTTCCCTCCCTTTCCCCCGTTGCCTCCGTAGGCAGTGGCAGAAGGAATGTCCTTGCAGGGGGACTCGACGGAGGCCACCCCTGGGCCGCGGGGAGCGTTCTCCCTCGCCACCGCCGGTCTCTGAACCAGGCCTGCCACCGCGAGCCCTGTGGGCTGCACCAGCTGCACGAGCAGCCCTGCAGAGCCTCCTCTGGGCTCGCTGGCAAGGCCAAAGCGCTGCGATACTGGCATTTTATTCTTCTTCCTTTTAACATGCTTGTGGATGTGAAGCGTGGCGGCTTGAGGAAGAGGAGGGATGTAGGAGTTGGCTGTTGGTTTAAGCAGCGTGAGAGCCGAAGGGCTTCTCACCCCATTGGGGTGCTGCACGAGGCCAAAGCCAGCCTGGCTCAATCTGGTGAAATATCCTAGGCCTCAGTCATTGCAGGAACAAGAAAAGACAGCAGTACTGTCCCTAAGCTTACGTGGGTTGCACACCAAGCAGGTGCCTGAGCCCCAGGCGCGTGCTGAGGCCGTGGCCGCGCGAAGGGAGGTCCCCTGGCAGCACAGGCTGCGGGGGCTCTCCCTGCCGCGCCGCGCTGCGCCCGCATAGCCCCTGGGCTCTCACTTAACCTGCGTGAGTTTCTTCATCTGCTTTGTCGTGCAGCCGCAAGAGAAGCGGCAGCGTGGTGTGGAGGTGGGGCGAGCAACGCAGGAAAGGGAGTTCCTGAGAAAAGCGCTTGCCTTCGGAGTTCAGGCCGGAGGCTGCGCCCCCGGCGTGGTGCCAGGCAGCACTCCTCTCCATCAAGCGCCAGAAGCTTCGCTACAAACTACCGGGTGTTTTTCACTCACATCCTTTTCAGTTGTGTTGTCCCTGTGGCTGGCTGTGCCTCCTGCTCCCTCCTGCTCTCTGCTGTCCCCATCGGGTAGGGGTGCCAGGGCCGCGGCACGAAGGCTCTGCCTGGGTCTCCTCAGTCAGGAGGTGCAGATGATGTTAGCCTAGGAGCTTCTGCTCCCCCTTCTGCACTGCATGCCATTCCGGAGAACACGGAGCAAAGGAACCTCCAGAGCCACCAACTGCTGAGACTTGGAGGGATTTCTCATGCGAAATTGTCCCGTTTTAAATTGCTTAAGCAGTGTTTAAATTTTATCTTTTGTGAGTGACGGTCTGATGGCGAGATCTGTGTTGTGTTGTTATCCTGTGGCTTTGTCTTTTTAAGTAAAAGATGTATTCAGCAAGAGAAATTATTTTTCATATGTGTGGTAATGAAGATAAAAGGTGAATGTGTTTTCTCCTGCAATACAAAGCAAGAAAGGCCCTCTAGTGGTCATGGCCTTCAAAATAAAAATAATAGTAATAAAGAAAAGGGTGATATGGGAAATTTTCCTCATCTCACCCAAGCAATATTGGGGTAATTGCTTTCTCTGGGGTCACCCTATCAAAGGAGCCATAAATGATGATTTTTTTTCTCTTCTCCTGGACATTCTCATGCTTTGAGATTGAGTTACTAAGATCTATTTGCAATTTAGTCGTGTAATTGGCAACTTCAGGCTGCGTATCTGGGGAGCTTTCACTTTACTGACTTAACTGTGCATGTTAATAATGATGGCAATTATTTATTGAATAATAGACTGTTGGCTTTCTTAAGTGGCTAAAGCACTGAACTGTGGAACAAAGACTAGCGTAAATTATGATCAACTGTATTGCACAATTTGTCCCTGAAACCACAAAATTGTGTCTTCATTTTGTTCACTTTTGTGTGATTCTTTTTTTTTCTTTCTGAATTCTTTTCAACAGCCCAGTGACTTCTCAGTATCTCTAAAGGCATCGGGGAAGAACAAACATTTCAAGGTGCAGCTCGTGGACAATGTCTATTGTATTGGGCAGCGTCGCTTTAATACTATGGATGAATTGGTGGAACACTACAAAAAGGCTCCCATCTTCACCAGCGAACACGGGGAAAAGCTATATCTTGTGAAAGCACTTCAGTGACATTGAAGATGGACTCGGTCTCCTAGGCCTCTTATAACTTCCAAGCCTTAGGTCCTAAATTCACTTTTTTAGAGCAGAGCAATCTACTCTCTGAAGCAGGCTTAAAGAATAGGCTCTTTCTAAAGTGTTTGCTCTGTTGGTTGTTATTGTCCTTTTTTGTTTGCCTACTTTGTGTTTCGATTCTGTTAATCTCAGATCACCTCCCTTCAGATTGAGAATTTCACTTAGGTGGCCATTGTAAGCACTCACTTCCATGACTGAGTTCTAAACTCCCCTCTTCTGTGTACGTTTACATAGTTAGTTCAGATAAAGGAGGGGTGTTTTCAATTCAAAACAGTGTTAATCTGTTCAAATTGCTCACGCTGACAGAACTCTTCGTTAAGAGACATCGGGCACAGTTTGAATGCACTGAAGCTCCAGCTAATTAAGTGAGATATAGTAGACATACAGTTGTGGCTGTGAGTTCTGTAGCTATTTTGCTTACCAAGTAGTATATTACAAAAATTCCTAGTTCCTAGAAGCACTCTTTACACTGTACTCTGCTATGACATTGCCTCTTTGACTCTTTGTAAAGAGTACACTAATTAAAGCATTTTGTAATAGTACTTCTTAAACTACTATGGTAAGATTGTAGTAAAAAAAAATATCTAGTGTATTTTGGTCTGTAATTGCAACAAAGAGAAATTTTATTTGAAAGTTGATTACTAGAGAAAGAATCATTGAATTGTAAAGGCTGAATGTTTTGGTAATCTACAACCAAATGTGCCATCCACATAATGCTTTTTCCTCTTGCCCTTCTGCTTGTTTGAATTAAACAATTATGTATTTAATTCTCAAAGTAATATGTATCTGTAGCTGATTGTTGACACTAATACAGAAGATTAATAAAAACTGATCTTGGGATGGGGTGGGGTGGGCTACCAACACTATATATATATTTGCTTTACAGAGCGAAATCTTCAGGTTTTACAAAGGATGGTGTGGTTGGTAGTAAGAGACACACAGAATGTTTATGCAGAAAATGCATTTTTTTTTCTCTTTTCTTTACATTTAAACTCCTTTATGGTTTAAATATACAGTCTTTAGATGGCACATTCCTGCGATTGAAGAAGGGATCTTGAGATCTCAAAATCTTGCATACTCATTTTTTTGGCTATTGTAATAAAAAAAGGTATTATGTCATGATGGAGTACTGGATTTATCCTTGGGTGGTAGTCCTGCTGTTGCTTTAGCAAGGTGGAAGAGAGTAAATAATGAAATAATTTATTTTGCAGTTTGCATTGTCTAAAAAGAAAAACATTTGAACTGCAGAGCATAGTTGGGCAGGAGGCAGTGACTACAGACCCCTGGTTGCTTCCGTGATAAGTCCCTTCGTTGCTTTAATGGAAACTGCGTGGTGGAGCTGTTTTCTGGTTACCTTGATGCTTTTGGCTGTTAACACACGTTCCTTGGCCACGTCGTGTTTCAGCCAGGTAGCAGATCTGCCTGCACTGCAGACAGAGGCTCTACTGCTTCAGGCTTTCTCAAACCTGAGTGGCAAGAAGAATTTTTGAAACTCTACACACTTGCTGGTTTTCCACTGCTCTTGAAGACTTACTTCACAGTGCTGCATCTTCTTCTGTCTCTGAATTAGCAGTTAAATCAGGGCACTGAAGCTTCTGCTTGGTCCAGTGAAATGAAGGCAGGCAGTGATTCAGAGCAGTCCAGAGTAGTTGTGCGTTATCTGTAGCCCTTCCTCTACCTTGGTATTTTAATACAGTGATATTTTAATTTCAGAATGTTAAGAATTACAGTAGTTTTCCCTAGAAAATTGATGAGAAATGCCAGCTGCTTAAAATGTAATGAAGGGCCCCAAAGTGGGCATTTATGGGAGAACTCTCCATGGGAAAGGTTTCTTCTTAACCTTTGTAAGATCTGCAGAGAATGTAATATTATCTCAGCTCCAGTTATTTATTTAGGTGAATCTAAACATTTACCTTGAATGTGGCCATTACATGTTTTATGGGAAGCATTTTCAGTTTTGAATGAATTGACTCTGTTATTTTGAAGAATGATATAAAGGTATGTCCTTCCTTTTCAGTAAGCATTACTGTAACTCCTCCATCCCCTTTTTTAACCTTTTGTTCATTTTTGAAAGAGTCTCCTCATTTCCTATCTTCAAAGTCTTTTTAATACCCGTTGTTACCTCTTTCCTCTTTTTTTTCCTAGATTCTTTTGACCAGCGTTACTTCCTGACTCCTTTCCAGTGTTGATTACTTACAACCAAATCAAATAAACTTCTGAGAGAATTGGCTTTTTTTTTTCCCCTCACGAGTTTTATACTTCAGCAGGTTTATAAACTCGTACTTTTTAAAATCTCATGCTTTACAGATGGCTTTTGTGCATAGAGTTGTGAATTCGTGAGGTATCGTGTGTTAGGAGCAATTAGTTAATTTATGGCCTAGCAGGGTGAATGACCAGCTCAGATCACGTTTTGAAACAAGCTACATCTTGTTTTGGCCCTTGCTGTGTTCAGTCAATGTGCTGCCCATTCAGCAGTCTTACTATTAGCTCTTCAATCGTTCCTAGTCTTTACAAATTAAGATACCTTTCCGTAGGTTTTGCTGCCTTTTTGACCTTATTTTCTGGATTGGATCAAAGCATTAGCAATGTCTAGCACTAACTGGTGAAGAAAAGGGCAAGGTAATGTAGGTTTTGTTTTTATTTTCCCCCTTCATGCCCATTTTTTCTGTCTTTTGGGATGCTGCTCCCTTATTGTTTAGCTGCCTACAGCTGCTTTCTCAAAGAGCGGGGTGTGTGGGAGAGGGGCTGGAATGGGGGTTACCTGACTGCAGTTTTCACTGAAGGCTCAAAACACTTCTGATGGAGTAGAAGTGATGATTTTTCTTCAAACTGTTCAGATTAGCTTTCCCCCTGCTATCTGATTCGTGCAGGTACATTAATTCTGCTTTTAAGTATTACTTCTGTACAGCTGTGTAAAGTTCCTTGCCATGACACTGTTGATGTAGGAATGGGAGGAAACTCACTGAATTCACAGCAGTTGCCATCGTGTCCATGCAGAGATGGGAGTCTGAGATGCATGGTTTTACTTCTAATTCCAGGAGCTTGGTGACGCTTGATGACCCTCCAATTATTCTGCCTGCTTTTGTAGCCCCAGGTAGCTCTGGCACTGAGTAGGTGCCGTACACACAGAACAGAAACCTGCTGAAATCCTGTCACGCCTGAATTTACCCCTCGCAGCCCTTGTGCTCCATAGCGCTCCTTTGCTAAGGAGATGCTGAGCTGAAAGGATGCTGCGGCTGTCGCTCTCCTGAAACGTCTGCACTTTAGCCCTTGCTCCCAGCTCTTTGGTCTGCGAGGTTGGTCTGTATCAGAAGCTTTTAGAGGGGTGGACCTGTCCGCTACCGCTTCAGAGAGGCCCGGAGCCCCACAGCCAGGAGCTGCTGGCCTTTGGCAGAGGCGCTGAGAGCCCGGGACCTTTACCGGGGAAGGCGTGCAAGCCTCCGATGGGCTCCCCTGGCCGGGGCTCCAGCTAGATCCAAACTGGAGGAAGCCTGAGCCTGCAGCGCCGGGCTCAATGCGAGCCTGAGGGGCTGGCGGGGAAGGACGGCAGGAAGCGTTAATGCAGCTGGGCCGTTTTGGTTTGGGGCGCGAGAAGGGCTTGCTCTTGCTTGCAAAATGCAACAGCTGCTGCGCTCTGGTTTCAAGGAAGTTACACGCCGGGGGGAACTGAACTAGTTCCAGAGGCTCCTCCCTGTTGACGTCTTGTTGCACCCAGATCTGCGAAAACGTGTGCCCTCCAAGTGCCCTAGGGCTGGTCCAGCAAACTCTTGAGAAGCATTGTTTTTCCTACTGTTAGCAGGTAAAAGCTAGCCAGTGTGTACACAAGTAGGTCGGGTCTTGTTTCTTTGTCCTCTTTTTATCCCTGTAGGTGGCTTACTCAATGTCAGGAGATGAGATGTAGTTAGTGTGTTATGTATTATTGTGAGCGGTGCGGAGACAGAACTGAGCTAAGGAGTGAAGGGAAAGCATGACAGGTAAACCTGCAGCATCCTACCATATGATAAATGCAAAGGGATTGAGCAAAGGGATTGGTTAGCCAGTGTTTTGGGGAGGGAAGAGGGTTTAAAGATACGTGGTTGAGTCATTAGCATGAATATAGTTAGTGGGCTATAAAGAGAGACCCTTGTGCTCAAAGGATGCTATTTAGTGTTCTCTATTCGGGTATTTTTGTCTTGTAAATTTATGTGAAATCCTTAAAGTTTACTGCTGTTCTTCCAAGCCTTTATTGTAGCTTTCCTACATTGTAAAACTTATTTCCCAGTTTAATAGTATTACTAAGGAGAAATAGAGATCTTCCATGTCTTCTGCAGCCAATGTAGAGAAGATTTAGAATGACAAATTTTGTTATAATAAAGCAAACCTTTTTTAATACCAAGATACAGCTTTGCCTAAAAAATGAGCCATGTTTTGCATAAATGATACCAAAATAAAACAAAAGTTAGAGATCATGCTTATTTTGTATTAGGTCAGGCAACTGCCTTGCCAAAGGCTACCACATATCTAGAATTGCTTTTCATCATTCTTGGTCTTAAATTCTTTCAGTAAATTGGACGTAAAGGAAAGTTGCTGTCTTCAGTAGCTGAATCTGGAGGGTTTGTTTTCTTACCCTAATAGGATGGGGTTACTCATTTTTAAATGGAAACTTGTTAACGTATTTATGCCACTGATTTCTGAAAAGCGTGTGGGAAAAATAACTCATAGCTCCTAAAAAGTGCTAGGAACTGGGAAACTTTCCAGTCTTTACAAAATCGAATACCTTTTTAAGAGGTGGAAAAGTGTGAAATAGGAAAAGTGCAGAGTGCACAGTCCTAACTAGCATTATAGATAACCTGGAGCACATGGAAAAACCGGTTTCAGAGTAAAAGGTAAATGCTGCTATTCTGTTTGAAAGTTACTCCTAGGCTTTTAAGAAGTAACAAATCAATTGTGCAATACTGTTCTTGCAAGTATATTGCAAATCTGACCAAAATGTTTACCAACTATATTATATAATAACAATGCCTAATATTTGTATATTCTTGTAATAGTATCTTACAAAAGCAATAAGGTATTGTCTTTTCTCTGATTTAGTAGGTTATTTCATACATCAGCTGTGTTCAACTGAAAATCCAGCAAACAGTATGCTTTTGGACATGAATCAGCTAATGTGAAATATAATCTCTATATAATATATATTGAAAATTGTAATATTTTCTGGTCCTTTGCATGCCTCTGGAACCTTATGCTACTTTTTATATTTTAAAGTATGTGTTTTTCTGTGTTATAAAATAGATTTTTGTCTCCTCTGTTGCTTTTTGAGATGTCTACCTAAGCTTGTAAGGAAGCTAAGACAAGTGGCATGTAACTGCAGATTAGACAAGTTTTTCCTTGCATCTTCCTTCACATATGGTAATATTAAGTGTTTTAAGAGTAGGAGGTTTTTTTTTTTTTAAAAAAAAAAAGACATTTTAAATTGACAGGTTATCTTCAGCAGTGGGAGTTGACAGTTATTAGGAAAAAGTTACAGGTAAGAAACGTTCTCTTGTATTTCTTAAGTGAACTGAGTGCGGAATTCCGCTTGGCATCATATGGCACCTGCCTATGAAGAGTTAGAAAGTTTAACAAGCCAATGTCTCATTTTAAACCATTTTAACACTTCTCAAGCATCCGTTATTTAGGGAATTAAACTTTGTGCGATTCTTGGATTAGTCCTGGCTCCTGGAAAGGTGATTTTTTTTTTCTCCCAGTAGTGACCACTAGCTGTATCTACATGTCTAAGATATCTAATTCTAGGTCTAAAAATAAAATACAAGGAAAATTTTTCATCACAATATTGTACTCTAGATATTAGTAGCAATACTCAAAAAAAGGAAAAATGTGGCATTTTTTTAATTTAAGAGGGAAGGGTTTAAAAGCTTCCCTCAAGTTTTCAAGACAGATTTTGCTCTGAGCTTTGTCTTGAGATGCATTTTCTCTGGGTGTGAGCCAGTCCACAGAGAATATATTAACTGGAATTGGAATCCCTACTGTAATTGAAACTGGTGGTGAATAATGGGATTTTTTTTTTTAATTTTGATTTCCATCAGATAGGATACATGCATTTGTAAGGTAATTAATTAGTGGGTACCTTGGGTAAATGA